TAATCTCCCTGTGGTTCGACCCCGGTCTTGCCGGGTTATTTATTACTTCGACACTCCTGCACTTGGGAGAAGACATCAATCTCTTAGTCATGTCAAGGGTTGATATGATGTTTTTAATATTACTTTTTTATTTTATGATTGTTGAACTGTGTCTCATTATTAATGATTAATTCTAAATCTCCTTGTGGTTCGACCCCGGTCTTGCCGGGTTATTTATTACTTCGACACTCCTGCACTTGGGAGAAGACATCAATCTTTTAGTCGTGTCAGTTGCCTCAAGACCGGTATGAATTTCTAATATTGGTCACACTAGTTTACCAAATTGGTAAATCTTTGAGGATCATTGGCCAATAAAACCTTCCTCTGGTGACTAGGGTTGCAAGAGCTACAGAGTCGTTGTGTAAGTTGCATACTCCTCCATGAATTTCCAATAAAACATAAGCATTTTCTACTAGGAGACAGATTTCGACAAAGAAGCTTGGAAAGACCGCTTGTATAACGTCCCATCAATTATGTAGTGTCTGGCTGCTTACTCAATTAGACAAATGACTTCGTTTCTATCTGAGGGCAATTCTTCTATATGCAGATTATCCTTGATAGGAGTTCTCCAGTCATGCTCTATGCCGACCGAGGCAATCATCGGCCCTTCCTCTATGCTTGATCAAAATTTGGTCGGCCTTTTTGTTTTTTTCTCTTGGAATTTGGTTGATCAAAATTTCCTTGCCCGCATCTTTCCCCGAGACCTGTGTTTGATTTTTTAGAGATACTTTGTCAAGGTAGGGTCTCTAGTTTTGAAAACCCCTTGGCATTGCCTTACTATTAACTGAGGATTATTGTGAATATGCAGGGGAAAGGCTTACAAAACCCAATCCTGTTAGGAGAGCTTCATGATCTGACACATTGTTGATGGTTGAGAACTCAAAATGAATGTTGTACTCCAGGACTTACGAGTACTACTCCTACACCATATTTAGCATTATGATTTGGAGGACTTGGAAATTGGGTTTTAATTTCCTGAAGGTAATCATCAGAGCTAAAACCACGTTTTCTACTTTCAAATATCTAGTCTCAACGTCAATGAGGGTTTGACTGGAATAGTAAACAGGACATTGTACGCTTTTGTTTTTTTCTCTAACTAGCACTGAATCGACTGCCTGATCGGAGACCCAAAGATAAAGGAACTAGCTTTCGTGCTTTCTTAGTTGTAATAAAATCTTAAAGGAGAAGAGGTGTATCTTGAGTTCTTTCAAAAGATTCCTGCATCTTGGGATTCTAACGTCCATTCAAAATTAGTGATGTTTTTTAAGATTTTCAAGAAAGGCAGGTTGCGTTTTCCCATCCTGGATATAAATTTGTTAAGGGTAGCTAGCCTTCCCATGAGATGCTGAACTTCTTTGATCTTATGGGGAGGAATCATATCTAAAATCGCTTGAATGTCCTCAGGGTTAGGCTATATCCTCGGAAGTAATTTATTTGTGGATGTAGTTATCTTAGAAATAAGGAACGTATTTTACTTCAAGCCAGCAAAACTCATTGACTTTTATACCACAGTTCATCATAAGGGCCGTATTGACACTTCAATTGTAGCAATCATCTATAAAACCTCTATCTGGAAAATGAATATGTCATTTTCTAATGTAGATAACAAAGCCGGTAAGCCTGTTTGGAATCTATTCGCAGTTTCTTAAACTAAATGATAAATAATGCTCCTGACTTCTATGAGATTCACAAATCTCATGTAAAAGAACCCATAAACGAATAATTAAGAGGCAAATAGTGCGAAGACCAGATGCAATTAGCTGGAAATAAAATTGAATTTGTGATACAAAGTATACGAGAAGTAGAATGCTAGTACAATAAAGCTCCACTTAAAATGAAAATGAATTCACCTCTTCTCCTATAGGAAAATCAACCACTTCTCCTACTTGTGATTTAATTGCATTTTGCTTATTGCACTCACTTCTGTGGATGGAGGGGAAGAAAGAACAGCAATTAAAATCCCCGCCTGGAAATGTGTACCTGCATACTTTCAGCAAAACTCGATTCTTGGTATTGTATGCAACAACAATTCCTGGAAGCTGCAAATACATGGTCTCGGAATCTTGAACATAAGCAATAGGAGATATGTTGCGAGGCTCCCACTGATCACCAAGACTGAGAATATCCGGATCCTGTTCTGCCAAGTCTTCATGGTTGATAGTATATGCCAATGCCCACCTGAATTTTTCACGGTCACAGACGTTCTGTTGCGAGTAAACATTATGATCATCTTCCTTGAGAAGATTCCAAGAATGAACCCCATCAAAATCGGTATAAGTGTAGTGTACTCTCCCCTCAGATTCCCACAGACATCGCCTGTAAGTCATTGTCGATTGCCAAGACCAATCCTCAAAAACATTTGGCAGTTCAATTACTTCACAGTAATCATCCTCAACATGATAAACAAGCAACTGCCCGCTTATCTCCCAGTGGATTGCTCCATTGGAAAAAAGTGGGGTTGTGTTCAGCTCAGGAAACTCATTATCAGGTAATTCAACATTCAAAGACAAACTGAAAGGTCGATGATTTCTCCAAGCCCCAGTTTCAGAAGAGAAAACTTCCAATTCAATATCACCAGGAAGAGGGCCCAAACCATTCTCTTCATCTCTAGAAACATGTACAAGCACTACTTGATAATGCTTCCCATCAAAAGCGAGACCTGACCTGATAATCAGCCTGGCGATACAATGCTGTGGAAGAGTCACAGACTGCTTAGTCAAGGGATTGAACACAACATAGTTGAGATGATTCTCCCCAGTACTAGACAATAAAAGCAAGCCCTCAGATGAAGAGATGATTTGTACATAACTGCCGGTGGTGAGACTCAGGGGATTGTTGATACTGATGCCTCCAGTTTCTTTATCAATGTCCAGAAAAATAAACTGAGATGACCCGTCTTCAAACTGATAATGGCTAAGTAGACCCTTTGCACCCATGTCAGAAATAATGATGGGATTTTCAGAACAATCCATCATCTGAGTCTCCATGTTTGCTAATGACAAGTAATCTTGCTAGTAATTGAGAACCAAGTTGAGCTCAGTGAAATAGCTTTATCTCTATCTGCCACCGGTCCCTCTAAAAAGGAAAGAAAAAGTAAATAAATAAAGACCTGTTAGAACTAAAATTCCGTTGACTTATCTCCCAAGCACTTCCAAGAAAATTCCAACCCAAATCGCAAGCAAAGAATATATTTCTTCACTGTAAATGCACAGTTATACCACCTCGGGAATTTGCTGAGAAACGATGGAATGATACCGGTAAACGAAGTCAAAATTAAAGATTATCCTCTTTTTTGGATGTAAAAGCAAAGCATTATATAGCATAATTCATAACATGATTTCTTGCTACTCAAGCTGGTTAACGCATGAACAGGAGTAGTAAAGTAACATCACTAGGCATTCAAACAGTATAAGATACCTAGCAGAGTGGCGAATCCAATGCGAAAGCATCAGCGAGTACAATATTTTGTGAGAACAATTAGTAAACTTCGAACCCTTAACACTTCGGGTTTTTGGTAGATTGAATATGATTAATGATAAATACCTCACTACCCCACTGATAGATTGTATGAATGTCCTTGAAGTGTCTCGAAATCACTATTACTGCCAACGATTTCTTGAATTTCAATACGCACCTGAGAGTTTCAGTCAGGTTCTTCCTATATTGTTAAACAGCAATTGCGAATTTGCCAATTCTCAATACCCTAATTATACTTACATGAGGCGAATCTAATATTTTGAGCAGCTCGAACCATTTGTGGCAGGGCTAGGGTCAAGGATCACATTCCTTGCAAAAGCTGTGATTTGAAGGTTTATTCGGTTTTGTTTTTGCTCTAAAACTAAACTAATGTTAATAATAGAAGTCTTAAGAAAAAACTTTACGTTATCAGATTTTATATATATATAAGAAGACTAAAAAAGTCTTCTATCAACTTCAACTACTCTAAATCTTGTATTAATCGGATTAACTTGTTATATCAAACTAGTTTTAATAATATTAGTTTCATATAAAAAAAAATGTGACATTTTAATTCAATCTAAAAATTTAAATTATTAAATAAAATTTTAATATATAATTTATTTTATTTTTTAATATATCTCTTTAAATAATTATTCTTTAAATTTAAAACTTATATATATTCTACTATTTTATGTTTTATTTTTATCAAATAATTAAAAATAACAAAATTTGAACTCGTAGTTATTTATTCATTAAAATTCTAATATTATATCAAAAAGCTATATTAATTTAAAAACTTAAATTATTAAATAAAATTTTAATATATAATTTACCTCATAATATAAAAAATAAATTAAAATTAAAATTATTAAATAAAATTTTAATATATAATTTATATTATTCTACCACCATCATATAAAAACTCAAAATCGGCTATCCAGGTTGTTGGTAAAGGCCGCAACCATGCTCTAATGTTTCGAAGAATGGAATCAGAATAATAATGTTGTTGCTTGCAATCAAGAGCTGCTCATATGGTATCAAATTCATATCAACTTTGAAATATGTTCCCCAAGTATTTATTTATTCAAGCATGTCTACAATGATCGTCAAAAAGATAGCTCAGGATGGGGTATGAGTTTTTCTCAGTTCTCACTTTACATGCCCTGACGAGGGCTGCTTGACACCCTTTCCAATTTCCTATTCGATTTTGAAGCCTTGGTGTTAAGTGCTTGGTCCTCCATTCACCTTCATAGCAAAATTTTGTCTTTGCCCAGAGCGCATCATTATAATTATAATCATAAACAATAAGATGCAAAATATTATTGCTTAAAATAGTATTTTTCTTATTTATTATTTTTTATATGTTTTCTATTCTAGTCACCGAAGTTTTTTCTAAAATATTTATTCTCTTATATTGCATTAACTACTAGGATTTGCACATTTATGCATTATAATTTGTTTCAACTACTCTACTACTATGTTTTTATGGTATAAAAAAATATCTTAATATTAAATTAATGCTTGATTTAGTAAAATAAAATTTTATTTTATTGCTAAAAAAAATTGTAAGTTGGGGAGAAATTTGACATTGAAGCGAAAAGGCAACCTTTTTTTTATTTTTACTGCTCAGGAGGAGCTTTTTTAGAAATTTTGGTTTCAAAAGTATGTTATTTTTCGTTCCAATACAATAAGGGATTGGTATTTCAATCCAACACTTCATTTGTTTTGCTCTTCAGTTCCTAGAATTTTTTAAAAAAGTGGCTAGAAAGTGGTAGCAGAGAGGTCAAATTCAATGAACAAAAATATAGAATTTTGTGTTGAAGTGCTCCTCTTGATGAGAGGAGTACTATTGAGTTTTTAAACTTTGATATCATGAAAAAAATAAATTGAAGTTAAATAAAAAATATTTTTATTTGATTTTGTATTTTTTTTTATCAATTTAAAGGTTTTGAGATAAAAAATTAGGTCATTAAAATATAAGGGTATTCATTTGATTTTTTTTAGTTGAAAATTGCATTTTTTAATTTAAAAAACATGTGACCCAACTTTCCAAGCTACATCTCTTTGTTAGTTGGTATCTAGATTAGCAAACTACATTTCATTTGCTTTTCTTTTTTTTGATTTTTTTAAATGAATAAATAACCTAGCCAAAATATGAATCAACAGATAATGTATAATCTAACTTTACTTTATTTTTTTTTAATGAGTGGATGATATGTTTAACAAAAAAAAAGGAGTTGATCCATATAAGCCCATGTGCATGGGATCTTTTTATGAGAGCTTTTTTTTATTTTTTTCTTAATTCTAAATTAAAATTAATTTAAGTAAAATAACTAGAATTAAATTTAGTATACTATTTTATCAAATACCAATTGTTTTTCAAATAATATTATGGTATTTTTTATAATATTAACAAGTGCTCTTGTGAAACCCTTTACAATGATTTCCTTTTATTTTTTTCTTAAAGTTTATTGAAATTTAATTATAAATTAGTAAATAAAATTATATTTAAAATATTATTTCATTAGATATCATTGAACTTGAATATAGTTTTTTTTTATATATGTTTGGTGTCATGAATATAGTTTGATGATATTAAGAGAAAAACTACAAGATATAGGAGTTTAACTCTAACTCTACACATAGTTTATTATGGATTGCTATAATAAAATTACATTTTTACACTTAAGTGAGAATAATTTAAGCCTTTAAGTAAGGAGAGTTGTTGGTTTTTTCCACTCGTTGATTAGTCATTAAAAGATTGTTGAGATACGTCTTTTTCAATTTTGTATACAATATAAATATTTTTATATATCTAGAGTCAATAAAATTTATAACTGTTGATCAAGGGTTTTATTGATTTTTCACAAATTTCTTAATAGTAAAAACACTTATTTGCTCTCGAGATTAAAATTTATCGAGTTGCCGGTATGGGTGTTTATGATTTTTTCATGAAAATTATTATCATTAACAACGTCGCTAAGTAATGGAGCAACCAACAATACTTACACATTTTTAACCTTAAAAAAAAAAAAAAAAAAAAAAAAAAAAGCTTTGCATTTGAGGTTATTTTGGTATTTTTTACTCGGGTGTTTTGTGTAATTAACAAGTTCATGGGAAGCGCTATGATATTTTCACGTTTTCTTTTTAATTTTTTTATTCAGAAATTTGTTCGCACGTTTTACAAATACACTAAGAAGTGGGTGGTGTTCACGTCATTCAAGTGGCGCATCTGACGCCACCTAATAGTCAAATCTTGTCATACATTGTGTCATTGGATGCATAATCATCTCTTCTTCTATATAATGTGACGCGTGTAGGTTTGTGGTGATTGAATTGTTGCCGGTGATCATTTGTTTTTGTTTTTTGTTTTTTTTTCTTGTCAACTAGGAATAGTAGGAATGATATTAATGATAATAATAGTAATTATAATGATGATGATGATGATATTAGTAGTAATAGTAGTAATTGTGATTGTGATAATGATAGTAGCAGCAATAACGATAATAACAATAAGAATAATTATGGTTATAACATTAATAATAATGATGATAATAGTGATAAAAATAAAAATAATAGTAATATTATTTATAGTGGTGATGATAATAAGTAGTGGTAGTAGTAATGATAGTAATAGCGACCATGATAATAATACTAATAATAATGATGTGATAGTTGTAATGATAGTGATAATAGCAATAACAATAATAATAACAATGGAAATAATAATGGCTATAATAATAATAGTGATAATTCATCATTTGATGCTAGATTTAATGAAAATTGAGTTTCATCGATTTTTCATATATTATATTTCTGATCTAATATCCTAAGTTACTGGTTTAAAAAGTTTACGTGGCTTGATATCCTTTTTTACTTTTTGACTTAGTATTTTTTTTCTTGATTTTATTGTTTAACATTAATTTTAAAAATAAAAAATGATCATCCAAATTTCTTTTATATATTTTATTGGAAACTCGTGCTAAGCAAAGATTTAAAATAAAAGATGTAAAGATTTATCTTCTTGCTCGGGTTTATAGCATTGCAAAAAAATCCATGCATTCTTGATATTTTTTATTACATTTTTAAGAACATGGTTAAACCTGGGGCGAAGCTAAGATTATTTGTTGGGGAGCCAAAACTAATATAACAAGATGTAATATTTTTTTAATTTATTGTACATGAGTTTTAAAAAAATACTACATTATTTAATTTTATTCAAAGAACTTAATACAAACATATAATAACCTTTGTATAGGATAAGACTTTTAAAGCAATACCAAATTTAGTCAAAGTGATGAAGTTAAATTTATCTTCTTAATGTATCCATCACTTTAATTTTGATGGTCTTTGTATATATCAAATATAAATATACAAAGTATGTAAGAAATATTAACTAAAGAGAAGCATTATTTATGTTTGATAAACTTTGAAATAAAGTTTAAAAAAAAATATTACATATTTATTTCAATTATTGTCGTTGTTCTTTCATATAATAGAAATTATCAATTATCATATCACTTGTGATTTTTTAGCAATTTTTTTTTTATATAGACAATCAAATAATTTGCAAGAAAATCATCCTTCATCCGATTACGAAGTCTTGTTTTTACAATCTTCATTGCTGAAAAAGCTTGTTCAATAGTTATTGTTTAAATAAAAAGATTCAAAATAAGTTGAATTAACACATCAATGAATGGATAAATTTTGATTTTTTTGTTTGAACCAAACCATGACATAAATCAGCAATCAATGATATATTCTTTAACTTTAGATGATTGGATACATCCAACTCATAATATTGTAATTGAAATCTCAAATAAATTTTTTTCTCGATAAGAAAAATTTTCAGGTTAGAACTTGTCAACAAGCAAGCATATATCTTTAATATTGAATAATTTATAGTTATTTCTAGAATCTAAAGATATGCTCAACTTAAAAAGCTCAATCACCTGCTCATTAAATATATTATTTAGCTCTTCCAATTGTTGATCAATGATAGCTATAAATATATCAACTCAGTAGTGATGCTTAACTGTTATTGATTTTTTTTATGACGAGATCATCCCATACTAGAAAAACAAGCATCCATATCATGAACTCTAATGTTTTGATGATTACAAAATGATGTCACTTCTTCTAAAAGAGTTTCCTAACCATCGTCTCTTAATTTCTGAATTAAAGTCTTTGTGGTAATCACCAAATACATAGCATTTAGAATGTCTTAAGATTTTTGTTGCAAGGCTTGATAAAAGCACATCATTAATTCTTATAATATTCTTCTTTACATGTAAAATAAAATGACATTAGCAACTTAAATAAATAAATAAAAGGACGCATCACCACATTGAGATTAAATAGATCCATCTAAAGCAATGTTTTCAAGAACCAAGCAAGTTGCCTCATACATTTTTATTAAACTGTAAATTGATTTGAAGTGCGAACTCTATTTTCTATCTCCAAGTCATTGCAAACCACATACTTGATTAACTCCTTTACCCATTTCAATCTCATCAATATCAACTAAATGTTAAATTGTAGTTGTATGAGAAGTTCATAATTCATCATTACGCTTGCAAGAAGCATTAATAATGTTAACAATAAAAAACAAATGTTGAAAGAAAGTTTGAACATCAGATATTTCTCTAGCTATAACAATAAGAGTTAATTAAAATTGATGAGCTAAATAATATACATAATATGTATAAAGACAATCATTAATTAATAAAGCTTGCAAACCATTTCACTCTCCACGCATATTACTAGCATTATTATACCCTTAACTCCTAATATTTTGAACATCAAGAATATGATGAGATAAAACAAAAGAAATCTCTTCCTTAAAAATTGAAGTAGTTATATTTTTGACATGAACTATATCCAAAAATCATTCTCATATAAATTCATTTCTATTAACAAACCTAACAATAGGGACCATTTGCTCTCTTCTTGATTCGTCTTGAGCTTGATCAACAATTAAATAAAATCTTGCATCACCAATCTCATGATGAATTGAAGACTACACATTTCTAGTAAAGACATGTGAAATTTCTATTTGAATTTGATGTTAGTTGTTTTTAGTATTTTATGGAGTATTAATAAGAATACTTACTTATTCATTATATGATGCTAAAAATTCCACTATTTTAAGAAAATTACCTCGGTTTTTTTTTTTATATATATATAATGTTCTATAAAAGCACATGTTTAAGATGTGAGCTAACAAATAATATCTATTGAAACGCAATCAATTATTTAGAATTTCTTGAGTAGTTTGCCTCTTAACTATCTTCTTAACATAACATGATTGATTTTTTAAATTTTTCAAGCACCTGATAACAAATCTATGAGCAGAATTTAGATTTTTTTCCATATAAGTCAAAAAGCACATTATTCCCCATCATTAACTTTCTTCCAACAATTGAATTCTTTAATAGTAAATATGTTTGATCCTGGCTTTTTGAATAACTTACTTGGAAATAGATAATAAGGGAAACAAAATGCAATATTTTTCTCTAAATATTCAAGCCTTGAATAATTTTTGAACCAATGGACTGAAATCAATAAGGATGGTTTTTACCGGTTAATGGATATTAAAACACCAAATGTTGATATGACTCTAAATTAATGTATGTCTTTGAATTTCATCTTATTGATTAACCGGGTATTTCTAAATTTGAGGACGATTACTTGGATCTCTAGTTGAATGAGCAATAATGATCCTAGTAAAAGGTTGACTAATCAATATAGGTTCTCTGTAAACTAAAGCACATTTCTAATTAAATGAGCAATGATGATTCTAGTGAAAGGTTGACTAATCAATTTAGGTTTTTTGTAAACTAAAGCACACTGAGGCTGTTCAACCATAACTTCAATATTACACATTGGAATTGATTCACTAGATTGTGAGTTTTCAATATTTTTCCTCTTTTCTTAAAAAAAAATCAATTCTTTTTATTTTTTTCATTGTTTAATCTAAAATCAAAACATTTATCATGAGAAAAAATTGATAATTTTTGTGACTTTGCTAAAAACAAAACATAAAAAAATCTAAGTCTAATTAAAACAAACCTATAAAATATATTCAAATAATTAGAAAAAAATCACTATAACAAGAATTAAAAAAATTAATAAAACTAGCAAATATGGGGGAAAAATGAAAAAATTATATATAAAAAAAAACCTTTAATAAATTCTTAACAAACATCCTAAAAGAGAACAAAAATAAATTTTAAATTTAGGTTACCAATGACTAATTATTTATCTTATTTTGTTTGATGAAAAATAAATTAACTAATAACTCTGTTTTAGCCTTTTCACTTACAATTTGTATTTTTATTTATATTTTTGACTTTTTATATTAGGGTTTCAACGAGAGAAAACAACAAAGGCAATTGAGTTAGGTTGAAAAAGTTACTTATGTTTTTTCTTTCCATATATAGCATAAAATAAAGAATTTTAAAGTCAAAAGATAGCAAATATATGTTTAATTCTCATGCATAAGGAAATAGTAATTTACTATTGGAGGGTACATCTATTTAAAATAAAAAATATTCCACCTCCTCCTACTTGAGTACTAAATAATAATAAAAAAATGAAATGTTTCCTAGGAGCCCGAAATAGTGATTTACTATTGGAAGGTACATCTATTTAAAATAAAAAAATATTCCACCTCCTCCTACTTGAGTACTAAATAATAATAAAAAAATGAAATGTTTTCCAGGAGCCCGCCCCTGCTTGCATCCCTTTAATTCTGCTCCCGGTTCAGCCACAGCGGAACGCAGGCAAATCAGCTAGTAGAATTCTATTTTATATTGAAATGGGAGCAACAATCGTTAAGACGATTAGGCATGAACATGCATGCTAAGCTGAAGACTTGCAAGTTTTTCTTCTTTATTAGGAGGGTTGTGAGAAAATGGCTACGCATATTTTTTGTTGATTTGTACTGAAGACAAGTCATGCTCGTGCTTTAATTTTTGTATTTCATTTTCTATTATAATTACATGATGGTGAGCAATTCGCTCAAGTGAAGGGATGTTCTTCCTGGAAACATCTGCAAAAAGCTGCACATAATATTAACAAGCTTTTCTATGAACTAGCTAGTTTTATTTGTTTATCACGTCAGAATGTTATGATCCCGTTAAACAGGCAAAATAAAGGCAGATAATTATAATCATATCTGACATGAATTAGTGAGTTTTTCTCCATCAATAATCATGCCTTGGATACATATCCAAGACAGCAGGAGCATGAACTATATTTATCCATCAAAGGGAAATCTACATTTTGCCCTTATTTCCCTTTGTGCTTGTCTTGGGATCATTGGTTTCAGATTTCCTAAAGGTTCTGTCTTTTTTCTACCATTTAAAGCAGGACGCAAAACTACTTTGTTTACCCGGGCAACAACCCTCTTCAGAGAGTCCTCGCAAAAGCAATTACTGCAAGCCGTGAAGGAATTTGAAAATGCTTAATAGTTGACAAGTTTCTGTTTCACTACTCTGTATACAAGGTCGCCAAATTGTATGGACAGACGTGTTATTCGTTTATAGAATTCATCTTGAGCTGTTTCAAGGCTTTATAGGTATGGGAACTTCATCTTTCTAGCGGAATTTGAAGGCAGAAAGGAGAAAACTCACTGATACAAAGATGGTTTGTACGAAAATGAAGATTTACAACTTCATCGAGATCCATTTCACAGTGATCAGGACGTACAAAAGTTCGTAGAGTTTACAGAACCCAGAAGAATGACGAGGAAGAGAGAAACCAAAAAAATGGAGAAACAATGCTCGACCAAACTGAAAGCACTACATGATAATTTGAGGTCAACAGACACCAGAAACACAATTTCACCAGTTGAGTATTCCCAATCTGAAGCATAACCAAGTTGCATTAAGCCACCAAACGACCAAATAGATTTTAGCAATAGATAGTTCACGGATAATTTGAGTCGAGGTTATGATGGTATTATTTATGCGTGAACTTGACAATTTCCATTATCCTGCAATGTTGGCAGCTAGATTTTCTGGGGTCAACTGTAGGCTAGCTAGTCAACGTCATATATGCAGGTCAACCATATTCGTAAGTCGTAACAGTAAAGAACTGAAAATAAAGACTTCTCCTTTAGTTGAAACTCAACAAATTTTATGAATAAATTCATGATTTTCGGGACTTGTTCGATCCAAAATTCCAGTACAACTGTTGATTATACTGCAAATAATACAAGCAGTCTATAAATACAATATTTTCTTTGGATATTCATTTGCAAGGTATACAAGAATGTGTACAAAATCCTATATCCTGCTAAACACTTTTAGCTTGCATTTCGGCGCTGTGATATGAACTTCAAGTTCCTATACATTTCTGAACAAGCTTGCGCAATGTCAAACATGGCTCTGAAGAGGTCTGGCAAGCGAGTTTTAAGACTTGCCAAAGACTTCTCCCTCACCTGAATGCGCTGCTTCTTATAGGCCTCTTCCTCCTCTTCCAAGCGCTTTTTCACTGCATCCACAGCAAACTGTCTATCAGCAACAGCATCATTGTCAGATTTGTCTTCTGTCAATTCAGGATCGAATTCAGCGGGCATTTTCTGCTGCATATGCTTTCGGTACCAGGATTGAAATTTCTTTGTCTTCTGGGATAGTTCCTTTCTTGTTTCCTCACATTTCTCTTTCAACTTCATCTCTTCTTCTTGATTCTGCAGGATGGCATGAATTACAGAGGCAAAATTATTTATAGCACTTCTTGCAACCTCGTCCGGGAGCTTGTCCAAAAAGTCATGCCAAGCAATAAGAAGTGACTGGATGGGGGGGTTCTGGACCCTTGGTGGAGAAGAAACCTTCTCCTTCAAACTGCTTTCTATAGGAATAAGGTTCAGCTTTAGCCAGCAGTTCAGGGCCTTTACGTATCCTTTCTGATTATCTATAAGTTTACAAAATTGTGACTGCCACCCTTGCACAACAACCAAGAGCTGAAAGGTACGATCATGGTGATGCTCACTAGTTTCCTTGGGAGATTGTGAAATGTCCAAAGCTCTGAGGGCATTTACAATCTTAGACTGGGCCTCATGGTGATATCGCATGGTATCCCACATTGTGGCCATCCTGAAATCCATACAACAGTTACTGTGTGGTTTAAACAAAGTACGGATTTCACGTGGAAATTGCAGTCAATATTCTCCAGGATTCAAGCCAAAACTACCTTTTCTTTTTCTACATCAGTTTTTTTTTTTAAAGTAAAATGCTTGTTAAAAGCATACAACTCAATTTTCCATGCCTTCAAAAAGCAATGTTAAAGGATGCAGAAGCGGAAACAAGGGAAACAGAAATCAACTGAAATGAAAGTTTCTGTAGAAATTTAAAACTCCGCAATTTCTTTTAGCAATAAACTGCAATTTCCTACAGCAACTTGGGTGATTTGCAAACTTACTGCAACCTTCACCACATTTCTCAAAAACCATCAATGACATGTGTAACCCTAAAACCATCTAAACTAGCAATTTCACATGATTGGTAAAGATATCAATTAACCTTTTGTGTTACTTTTGGTTGAACAACAACATTTTAAAGATTTTCACCATTATTTTGCTAAATATTCCCCTTCTTTTGACTCTCTTCTATTCTCTGAAAATTTTATGTAATTTCCTTAGGACCCCAAACTCTTGTCTCTCACTTTTTTCAAATATCACTTTCTCGTAACTTTACCAGCTTTATCCTCAATAGGTTCTGATGGTAGATTGATCCCTAAAGATATTAATAGCAAGGACATTCATGTGAAGGATGACATATAAGCGTAATGCCTATGTTATCTGCAAGATGGTCGCCCCTAGTAACATCTCATACTCTTCTCTGGTATTGTAAAACTTTTCTAAAACCACCATTTCATGACATTTTTCTATTAATAATCACCCTTCCCTACAAAATTCTCCTTTTTTAAAAATATGATGCAGTGTATGATTCAATCAAAACCATCAAAGCCATGCACGATCATGTTGACATAACAAGTAAATGCATGTGCTTTACTTTTTGGTGGTGAGGAACATCCAGGAGACTGTATTTGTTGCCACTTATCTACCCATTCTATACTTTCCGCCAACTCTGTAACTTACAGCAATTTCCTACAACCTTCACACACTTGTAACTCTTATGCAACTTGTCAAAGAACCATCTCACCTAAAAGCTTAAGCTGTTAGGTAAGGCTCTAGGATATGATTTATACCATTTAAATTCATTTTTCCACTAATCCAAAGAGAAACTTACCCATCAACGAGCTCAACAAGTTTTGGATATAATTGTTCATCACGTAATTGGTTTATCTCTGAAACTGTTGAATCCATTGATTGCATGTCTACGATGTATCTTGTATGCAGATGGCTTACAGCAGCCTTTAATTTCTCTAGTGATTCAGTGTTTGTACCTCTTTTCTTCTGCTTATTCAACGAATTAACCTTCCTTTGATACTCGTACTTCATCAATTCACCTGCCTATCAAGCCGCAGCCAAACATCAGGTCAGATTCATCTCCTAAACCATGGAAGGACAAAAAAACAGAAAACTAAACGAGCTTAGCCAAACCCCTCCAGGAAAACTCTCGTCTCTAGAAAACTAATGAGTTTAAGCTTTAATTAATGTTGACAATAAGTTTTCAATTCATAGCAACTAAATGCAGTTTCATGTGGCAATGGAAGTTAACCCACCAGTTCAATAAGACTATGCATGCACAATAACAAATGATTTAAATATTTCTATGGGCTAAACATAAGCAACCAAATACGAAAATACCAGAAGGAAGTACCATGTATCATTGGTCAATTCAAGAATTTGAATAGAAGACAGGCAGGCCGAAACACACAATTAGCCGTCTTATGTAAAATGAAAAGAATGTAAACATTGCACCATACCTTCACTTCATCGAAAAGCTTCTTTTCCCATGCCAGCATCTTATCCAGTACTGTTGCATGAGTTTCATGCTCTTCTATGTCGAAATCATCCTTCCCATCATCAAGATCAGGAACTCCTCTAAATGATCGATTCCATGTAATAACACGCATCACTCTTGCCGAGTGATCAATATGTCCTATAACATACAGGACAGGATTATTTAAAATGACAGGACATAATGGAACCATCCCATTGCTAGAGTATCCAACTACAAAAACATTTTCTAAAAAACTATCACTGCAGATAGATATTGGGATAAGCAATTACATCAAAATAAACAATTCAAGAACTGAAAATCAATCAGAATTATGAAACAATGAATGAACAGTAGAAAAGAAAACACACAGAAACAAACAAGGTCCGATTACCTCTATTGTCCGCAAAATTTGAGTGATAATACAATCGCGTGGCCTCCAGCAACTTAGAAACTTCATGGGCACTCTCAGATGCCTTCAAAAAATGATCATCAAGGTCCGCAAATATCTCCATAAAGTTCATCCCTTTCACAAACCTCCTCCCTCCTTCCACTCCTCCCATCTTCCTTCCCACACTCATCTCCGGCACCGGAACCTCCATGGCCTTCTCCATCTTCTCCTCCACCACCATCGGTGGCGGATCCACCTTTTCCTCATACACTTTCCTCTGCACCTGCTCTTTATTTATCCTCACCTCTTCCTCCATCTCTGGCGGTCCCGCCAAACTCGGTCCTGGAATGCTATCCATGGATCGAAAGAAATCATCCCAAAGGGAATCTTGGGGCTGTTGCTGTAGATGGTGGTTTTCTTGTAAAGAACTTCCTCTGTTACTACCAGTACTGCCTCTGTTACTACCAGTACTACTTCTCTTTCTCACTAACCTCTCATTATCATGAGCTTCATATTCCATCTCTTCCTCTTCGTGTATCGTCTCCACCGGCTTGTTCATCTCCGGTTTCTGAATCTTCATCTCTGGCATGCTTGTCGACCGCTGTAAAGTCTGGAAATTCATGTTATCGGGGGGCGGCGGTGGAAGGACAGAGGAAGGAGGCGGAGGAGGAGGTGCGGCAGTGGTGGCGGAGAGACGGTGGATTTCGCTCTGGGCATAGTCGTTGAGGGCGGCGCCGGTGTTCTTTAAGGACATGGCGTAGGAAGAGTGCGCGGCGGCGAAGGCGTTGCGGTTGGAGACAGCTTCTTTCATGAAGTGCCTTCGATCTTTGCATCTTGATACTGCTTCTTCATTCTCTATCTTCGACTGGTGACATCCCATTCTTTAAATTTTATTTTTTTTATCTGCAACTAAACTTTACCTAACCAAAAGCAGACTCGTCGGAGTCTGGCTACCGGAGCGAGGTGATGTGATTTCAGAAGCAGAGAAGCGTGATTTGGCGGTCATCGCTGCGGGGGTTTAACTTGATAGCTTGTTAGGAATTGGTGTGGAACTTACTTTTAAAAATATTTTTTATTTAATAATATATTAAAATAATGTTTTTTAAAGTTATTTTTCAAATTATCATATTAAAATATTTAAAAATAAAATTAAATAAAAATTATTGAAAAAAACCAAGAACTCCTCTTTCAATTTATTTTTATACTGTTATATTAAATCAATCTAAAACCATGAAAAAAAATAAGTTAAATAAAAAGAATTAAAAAAATACGATTAAAAAAAGAGCAAATTAATAAATAAGTGGCAGCATCCTGGAGGACGGAAGACAAGCGAAGAGAATCCACATCTGTAACTGTAAAAGGAAAGAAGGAATGAATAGAGGCGTGTGCATGCAGAAACTAGTCGAGCTGCATTTTTCTTTATCTTAATGGACAAGGCAAGTCTGATCTGCCATTTGTCACTCATACAGCGGGTCTTCTTCTTTTTTTCTTTTTTTCTTTTTTTCTTTTTTTTTTTTAGGATTCGTCGAGATGGAGTGAGCTGGCAGGAACAAGCAAAGCATTTTTTTTTTCTTTTCTTTTTTACCGGTACCCTTGTTTTGCTTTGTCTGATATCTCGGTTGAACTGTTATTTTATTATTATTTTTTTACTTTTTATTTAAATTAATTTTTTTATATTTTATCATATTAATATTAAAAATAAATTTTAAAATATAAAATAATAATTTTAATATATTTTTAAATAAAAATTACTTAAAACACAATATGCATTACACTCACAGTTATGCACCAGATATTTTTAAACATTAACATAATAAAAAACATATAACAATTCATAAAATATTCATAAAAATAATATATTTTCACGAATTGTAAACTTTATCTATGACTTGCATGTTGCATGCCAGCAAATCATACACAAAGCTTAGAACTCTCTAAAAAAGGTAGCCTGAACAATTTTTTTTAGACTATCAACTCCTTATCATAAAAATTCAACTCAATAATAATCACAATCCACCATTCATCTTCAATCAATGTTGTAATATACTTCACAACTAAAAAAGTCAACACGCTTAGTAGTTAAAGATTAAACATGAATTACATATTACATAATATTTTATTAAAAATATTAAATTTTTAATTTTTAAAATATAAAATATATAATCTAACTAAATCTAAAAATCATACTATCTTGTGAAAGAGCATGCACTGTCACTCCAACTCATCTAATTTTTGTAGTGTATATATAAGGGTTAACACTAAAATCATCATAACTCATTGACAGACTTATAACACTCGTGAATGTACCTGGGGTGCTCATGAATAGATTCACACCACCACCCCACTCGTGAATGTACCTGGAGTGTTCATGAATAGATTTACACCACCACCCCAACTCGTTCAATTCAAGAACATTACACTACCACCCCAACTCGTTCAATTCAAGAACAAGCCTATAGTACCTCTGTAAAGACCAAAAATAAAAGCATCCTAACTCATAAAAAGACTTGGAATATTCATGGATGGATTTGGAATGTTTATAGATGAGCCTACACCACCACTCAACTAGCCTAACTTGAGGACAAACCTATAAGGCCCATATAAAGGTCAACACCAAAATCATCATAGCTCATAGAAGGGATTAAAACACTTATAGACGAACCTAAAGTGCTTGTGGATGAGCCTACACCACCACCTAACTCGTCCAACTCGAGGATGGGCCTGTAATACCCGTGTAGGGGTCAACGTCAAAATTACCTTAGCTCGTATACCGACCTAGAACACTTATGGATAAACTTGTCTCAAGTTATTGTTTATGAAAAACAGTATCATCTTCCGTTGAAACTGCTTTAAGATGCTCAACCTCCGTTACCTCCTGAAATCCACCACATCATAAATTAAATGTATTGCTGGCAAAAGTACATCTCATCTCATTGATGCCTTTACAAATAATGGTTGTTGCTCTTCAAGCCTCCCATAATAAGTAATGAATCTAATAAATAAATTAAAAAAATAATTAGCACTCATCAATCATATATAATAACATTAACAATATTTAATAAATGTTACAAGAAAAAATATATTACATATCAATCGATTATGTCTAAAATATAAGGGCTCATAATGCATCGGATTATGTAGATGCATTAGGAAACACAACCATATAGGTGCAATAACTCAGTATATTATTTGTAAATATCATCTCATGTAGGTATTTAGATCAATTGTTGATTGTTAGTTTAAAAATATTTAATTTCTCTTAGCACCTCAAAGATTTGGATAATTTACATGAACCATCAATTAATTCTTTTCTATTTACCTTGACAACTAAAAGTATGTAACTCCTCACTAGTATCAATATAATTTTAGACATGTTGAGATAGGCCAAATTATCGCATTATCCAATTAGGGCAATGCATCTCAACCATGTTAAAAAATGTAGCAAGACTTTTGCTAACCACAAGTCATCTCCCTCCTAACATACAAGTTCAGTCGATAATATCAAACTCTTTGTATATTATGTTCATATAACCTATTAAGACATGAAAGACATATATTAGAAAATAACTCAAAACTAGAAAAAATTAACATCCAAATAAAAAAATTTATAACTTATATCTAATGAGGTTATTGTGCGTTTAACTCATCTCGATAGAAATGATGAATATGAGTGGTATTCAAAATAAAATGTCTTGCATCATACTATTTAACACAACTATATTATTCAATAGTTTTACCCGCATTTACCTAGTATTTTGCCCATGTTTTATATTAGATGCCTTGATAATTTTTTTTCTCTATTTTATAGGTAATTTTAGATGTAAGATTCAAAAATGAATAATTTGGAGATAAATTCAAACAATGTTCCATCCCGTGTCGAATATTGGTGATTTGACTTTCGATTGATTTTTTATACAAAACATGAGTTGTAGAGATCAAAATAAAGTGATTATAATAGAATTAGAAAGTTGGCATATACACCTTTCTATTCATATATAGCAAGAAAAAAAAATAACGAGCATGGAAATCATAGCTTTTAAAACACAAGTCTCGCATTCTACCAGTTTTAATCTTTAACCATTCCAACTTGAATATCTTGAGTTAGAGAAGTCTATTTAGTGGAAACTTAATTTTGTTGGATTCCTAACTCAAAGACATATCAATTTACCAAATATAAGTGAAAAACAAGGTCATAAGAAAAAAATATGATTTTTCTAAGACAACCCATAAATTCTGCTAGTATACAGGTTTTGTGAATAAATAAGTTCAACTTACTTCCCAAACATCCAAACTGACATGACAATTATTTCTTCATATGTAAAAGTTCTTTATTTTGGAAACTCAACTTCACCAAGTCTAAAATCAAAACTTAAAGATTTTATGTAAGATTTTATATATATATATATATATATATATGAAAGAGTTATTAGACTACTTAAATATAGATAATTGTCTACTTTGGAAAGGATTCTTGCACTTTAGTAGGAATGTGAGGAGTAGGGTTTTCCATCAAATTAAAAGGAAAGAGAGAGAGGTTGGCAACTAGAAAAAGAAAAGAAACTCTCACTTTTTTCTTACAACTAAAATTATGTTTTTATTTTCTCTTCTTTAGTTTTTTGATAGTAATACAAGACAAAGTTATTTTTCTTGGTAGAAAGAATACAAAAGCTTTCGGATTTCAAGAACTATGAGATCTATTTTATCTTTTTTTTTTAGTTTATATGATTAGTATGAATGTTTTCTTAAACTTATTTCTTATGATTGTTATAAATATTTTCTTATACTTATTTCTTATGATTCTTTAGTTTGATTGTTAGAGCAGACTTTGAGTTATCATTCTAACCAATCTATTCCTAAGTTTTTTTTTATCGAAACTAGAGTTTTCATATTTAACTTATGAAACAACTAAATTTAATAAATATAGCATATTTATATTGTTAATTTTAGGAAAAACATTCAATTAAATCAAACATAACTACAGATAATTATGTTGTGGTTGTTTAATGGTTGGGGTTATATTGTGAGTTGGTTGACTGACTAGTATTAAAGAAAGATAAATTATTTAACTTATGAAACAACTAAATTTAATAAATATAGCATATTTATATTGTTAATTTTAGGAAAAACATTCAATTAAATCAAACATTTCGTCGTGTCAATAAATATTCAAAATATTAATCGACGTATCATTTTAATGATCAGTTTTGATTTTCGTTGGTGGATGTTTATTTAATACCAAGGTTTTTCTCTTAATAAGTTTCAATTTATTTAATTTATTTTGATTGCTTTATTTTGTTTACCCTAACATAGCTTAGACAATCTCAACCCCCCCTCCCCCCAACTTTTAATCATTTAGCATGAAGATCTTAACTAAATTTTCTTTGTGGGAGCGACCTCTTACTTACTCTGTATTATCTTACTTGTTTAAGCTAAGACAATTAATTTATGTGTCCGGAACATCACAACACTATTTGACATGATAAGCCATAAACTTAATATATTTTTTGTATTTAATTTATATAAATAACCTTTTTCAAGACTTATTAAATTTTATTATTATTTAGATCTTGTAGAGAATTTTCCATAGGTGTTGGTTTTGAACATATTATTACCCTAACTTTTTAAAAACTTAATATGGAAATGCTTCCATGACCAAAGTTATATTAATTTAAATATAAAGCTCTAAGTTTTTAAAATGATGTTAATTATCACAAACAAAGAAAATCATTTACTAGAAAATATTAAAAAATAATTATACCAAAAGAAATAATGGATACTCGATTATTTGTTTCCTCTACTTCAAACATGTTTTACATAATTGTTAGTATAGATATGCAAGCATAGCCCTTTAATTATTAGTTATAAATGGCCTAAAAGTCATCAAGTAGTGTTACGAAAAGTAATTCCACTATATTACTTATGGTGCTAGTGGAAATGAGGCCCTTAAACATATACATTACATATACTTGAATATTCATAATCAATTGATCATTTAGCCCTTACACTGGGGTGTCTTAATATTAGTCTCCAACCATATCAGTTTGATGTTGTTATCTCTATAAGTACTGGTTAA